ATGCAGGGTTACCCACTACGGATGAGACTGTAAAGACGACCTGAACCCCTTAACATCTGACGATTCCCAAGTTAAATTCAGTTTTCGTCCTGATTATTAGTCTTTTAATGTCTGATTTATAATGATTTTTCAAGTTCAAGATCCAAGTTTACAGTTGAAGGGAATTATGAATATAGAGAAGGCAGTTTAAATTCGAGAGTCGTCTTCGAAGTGTCAACCCTGTACCTGGATATATTGTTGAGGGATGGATTAACACTGTAGGTTAAAGTCTCATTATCGGAGATAGAGAGCTGTTCTAATCTTCGTCCCACCTTTCTTCCCCAGCTTGAAATACCTACAAATATCAAGAATAAAATTAAAAACTAATTCGTTGCTTTTAGATTAGTAAATTGCAATAACTGACATCTTAATATCTTCAAGATAATGATAAACTTAAAATTCAAGAAAAAAGATTGAATGATAATAATTATAATTGACAGGTATCAAAATGCATCTGAAAGAAAAAAGTATAAAAATGGTAATGCATTTATGTATAGACATAATTCGATTTTCATTAAAGGAATTGAGTTTTTGCCACTGACTCTGATTTTAAAATTCTTATATCTTTTCAACCCGATGTTGTAGACCTTAGATTTTTCAGACTATCAATTATGTTGGATCACATAATCAAAGTTTGAAACATCAAAAGTTTACAGCATCAGGTTGCATAGATATAAAGATTAGAAAATTCGAATTTGTGGCGAAGACTCAATTCCTTTGGAAAATCCGCGGATTTTTTATAAAATCCGCTAACTTTTTTGTTTCTTATTGTTTTACAGTGTATAGAGAACATGTTCAATTGAAATGAAAGCCTAGCTAGTAATTTTATATTTTACAAAATGAAACCCCTGTTTGTAAAAAACCTCAAAGTTTTGCCCATAGTTTACTGTCTTTGAGGGAGGACATTTGGTTTATCTACATATTATGAAACCTTAAAAACTGTCTTAATTTCTAATTTTCTTGTGAATTTTTTACACAAATATTTTCCATGTTCATAACTGCATTCGTGTGATTTTAGATTTATTTTGCATTGTTTGATATTAAATGTTATTATGTAATTATTCTGAGAACCAAGTTATCAAGTTTATCCCTGCAGCCATGTGGAAACATTGTTTTTACGAAATTTTTTTCTCAATACGAATTTTCGAAAGAAACGGAGTTATTGCCCAAAACTCCGATTTTCTAATTCCTATATCTTTGCTACCCGATGTCGTTTGATATTTCAAACTATGAATTCTGTTGAATCAAATAGTCTAAGTTTGAAACTTAAAAAAATATAATGTTGGAAAGATATAGGGATTAGAAAAGTTGAGTTTAAGGCAAAGACTCAATTCCTTTATCTAAATTCATAATCAGACACTTATTTTTATTTTAATTATCCCCGTAATCTCAAGTGACCCTCTGTTAAAGGTGTGGCCTTAAGAATTAACAATGCTAACCATTTAAACAGTATAAACGGTATAAAAGTAGGATATTCAAAAACTGACGAGGTTTCGTTCGACGCAAGAAATTTTTCAATATTCATCGCATAAAAGGGAAAATCGACAATTCTTCATCGTTGTAAAGGGAAAATTTACAATATCCATCGCATCAAAGTGAAAATTTTCAATATTCATCGCATTAAAGGGAAAATATCCAATACTCATCGCATTAAAGGGAAATTTTCCAATATTCATCGCATTAAAGGTAAAATTTCCAATATTCATCGCATTAAAGGGAAAATCGACAATCTTTATCGGACAAAGTCTAGAATGGTATTTTTGTAAATCTGTTTAGGTACTCTGCAGTTTATAGGGTCCCTTAACGACGATTTGTCGGACGGAACGATCGGCTGTTTTTTGTTGAAGTTTTGAGTTTATGGCGGAATGATTTTATTTCTTTTAGATTGTTCAAGCTGCATTTAAAGTAATAAAAAACTAATTTTAATTCTAAATGCAGGTTTTAGGATACAAAATACAGGATCAGGGATACATGATACAGGATTCAGGATACAAGGGATACAAAATGAAAGAAAATATAGGTACGTAAAAGGAAAAAAGATATAATATAATAATAAGATGAATAATAATATATAAATATGACATTCAAACAGAATCCTAAACTTAAAGTACAGCATATGGAAAACATAATACAGACTATGGAAAGCTTATTACAGACTCATAAAACATAAAACAGACACCCGAAAACATGATACAGACTCCGGAAAACATACTACAGTCTCCGTAAATCATAATACAGACTCCGGAAAACATAATACAGACTCCGGAAAACATAATACAGACTTCGGAAAACATTATACAGACTCCGAAAAACATTATACAGACTCCGGAAAACATAATACAAACTTCGGAAAATATAATACAGAATACGGAAAATAGAATAAAGGCTATTACATGCAAAATTCAAAATACAAACACATATTGGCACAGAATACATATGATACATAATACAGAATACATGTAGACAGTAAGAATAAAAATACAGGCTACTCGATACAGAATATGGAATATGGAAAACAGAAACAGCAAAAAATACAAGATCGGAGATACAGAATAAATGGATACACAATACAGAATATTAGAGGGAGGTAGTTATAAAATATTTGATTTAGGATAAAAGATACATAAAATACAGGATGCAAGACAATATTTCATTTTTCATGAAGAACATTTTTAAATGTTGACAAGCTTATAAGAAGGTCTTGGATGGAAGTAATAAAAATAAAATTGAAAATAATCTCCGAATTCTATTAATTTCAAGGTTGCAAGGACAACAGATAATTAACTTGAATTGTTTTGGAGACTTAATAATATAAATTATCAATGAATTCCTGTGAAATATTGTTGAACATGGTTTAAATTCTCACATTTGTATATTTGATATATATCTTCATTAGCACCAAAGACAACAGTTGCTAGTTAATTGAATTATCTAAATTACTTAGGCTAAGATTATAATACTAATTCAGAACAATTATCGATAGCTTTAAAACGTATATAAAGATCTTTATGCTTTGTTAAATTGATTTTAAATGACAATATAAAGTTGAGTGAGGTTCTTTAGATACAACTTAGACATACAGAGCTCGGAACATACATTACATATTTATTATTTATAAATGCATAAGGTTGCATACACATATATGATAATTTGTCATTTATTATTTCCTTTTCTTTCTTTTTTCTTCTCATTCTTCTTTCCATTTCATATTATTCTTCTTCTTAGTTATCCTCTCTTAATATCCGTCCTTTATTGTCTTTCATTTTATCAATCCTCCTATCTTTTCCTATCCGGTCTGTCTCTTTTCTTTACATACATTCCTCCTATCTTTTCCTATCCGGTCTGTCTTTTTTCTTTACATACAAATTCTTCCTATCCTTGCCTATCCTTGCCTTACCTTCATATTTTCCAATCCTTTTCTAACTGTAAGCTTCATTTTTTCCTATCCGTTCCTGTCCATTCAGTCTTTATATTACCGATCCCATCCTTTCCTGTCGAAAGTCTTCATATTTCCTATCCTTTCCTGTCCATTCTGTCTTTATAGTTTCCCATCCTTTCCTGGCGAATTAGTCTTCATATTTTCCTATCCTTTCTTGTCCATTCGGTATTCATATTCATATTCTTATCCTTTTCTTACCTTTCAGCCTTCATGTGCACATTTTCCTATTCTTTCCTTGTTCCTACCCTTCGTTTCTTTCTACCTATCCCTCATTACTACATTTCCTTCTTTCGTATCCTCTACTTTAATTCCTATCCATCATTCTTTCAAATCCTTTTTATCTAATTCTCACTCCACCAAGCCTATCTTTATAAAGCTATAGTATATAAAGATGTATATATAACTATAAAAGCAATAATCAGAGCAGGTTCTCGGTTTTATATATATATACATATATATATATATATACACCTGCCTATTGTTACATTAAACTCTACCTATTTATCCCTGTACCGAGCTCTATCAAGTTCAAAAGATCAGGACAAATTGCCGGAGCGTGGTTTACATGATCTTATCTATTCTTCTCCAGGTGGTAGACAAGCTTGTGCTCAAACCAATATATTGGATTATTATACACTTATTAGACCAGGAATACATGTTGCAGATAACGGGGATGCACATGAAAATAGGAACAATATTCAATATTTTAAATAATATTACCCCGAAATATGTTCATCTTGAGTTAGGTTGCGGAGCTGGATTCGGAGCAGAAGGATGGATCCAACCCGCCCATGGTTGTATCTTGAATAGTGGTTTGGAGAAGTTTGTCTCCGCATATCACTTAGGTATCATTTAGCATTGTGTATTCTGATCTTGAGATCTATATTTCCTGTCATTAGTGAAAACATTATGGAGGTGTGCTGTGAGTTTGAAAAGGTTTCTGATGGATAAAAGATGGGTTTGTATAATTTATACAAAAATATTGTTTGATAGTTCTGAACCAAAAGTCAAGAAGTTGCCAAAACTTTATAACATTGATCTGATATATGAATCTGTTTACAAATAGATCCTTGGATAGAATTAAATAAATTCAAGTTCAAAAGATTGGGGGGATGGAAGGACGGAAGAATAAATAATGAGATAGAGAAAATTCATAAAACTCCCAACGAAACCCATTATGTAAAAAAAGAATGAGATGAAAAGAAAAAAGAGGTTTTGATTTAATATGACAAAGAATCAAGACTATGCTAAAGTCAATTAGGATAAAGATGGGATACAGGAGAAGCAACGATACAAGAGAACCAACGATACAGAAGAACCAACAATACAGGAGAACCAACGATACAGGAAAACCAACAATACAGAAGAATTAACGATACAGGCGAACCAACGATACAGAAGAAACAATGATACAGAAGAACCAACGATACAAAATAACCAACGATACAGAAGAACCAACTATACAAAAGAACCAACGATACAAAAGAACCAACGATACAGGAGAACCAAGGATACAGGAGATCCAACAATACAGAGAACCTACAGTTCAGGAGAACCTCAGAACTTACTTAAACCTCTAAACCCTGATTAGTATGAGTTGGTATAATCTCCTCGTCTTCTCATCTACCCTGCAGGAATCATCAAACCTGGAGTTCAATGACAAATATGACAAGATTTCCCACAAACATCCAACACTTAAATTCAATGTCAAGCTCAGTGTCAATCAGGACGTTTCCGTAAATATTACTTTTCCGTCCTTGGAGAACCTTTTCCTGTAATTTCTTCCTGGTTTATCTATCCAACCTCTTCTAGTTTATTATTTCAAATTGTAAATATATCCTAATGTATCCAACCTA